ATCCATCCATCCATCCATCCATCCATCCATCCATCCATCCATCCATCATCTGCTTGTTCTGAAGTCAGGTCTTGGGGGCAACAACTTGAGCAGGGAGGTCCAGACATCTCTCTACAGCCACCTCTTCCAGCTCTTCTGGGATGACTCCAAGGTGTTCCCAGGCCAACCGAGAGACATAGTCTCTCCAGCGTGTCCTGGGTCTTCCCTGAGATCTCCTCCCAGTTAGACATGCCCAAAGCACTTTCCTAGGGCAGCGCACAGGAAGCATCCTTACCAGATGTCTGAACCACCTCAACTGGCTCCTCTCATTGTGGAGGAGTAGCGATTATACTCCTGAGTCTTTCCTGGATAACTTAACTTCTCATCCTATCTCTAAGGAAGAGTCACGCTACCCTGTGGTGGAAATTTCAACCTCCTGTATCCACGATCTCATTCTTTCTGTCACTACCCAGAGTTCATGACCAGAGGTGAGGGTAGGAACGCAGATTGACTGGTAAACAGAGAGCTTTGTCTTACAGCTCAGCTTCCTCTTCACGAAAACAAACCGGCACAGAGTCCACAATACTGCAGATGCTGCACCAATCTGTCAATCTCACGCTCCATTCTTCCCTCACTTGTGAACAAAACCCAGAGATACTTGAACTCCTCCATTTGAGGCAGAACCTCACCCTCGACCTAAAGAAAGCAATCCACCCTTTTCTGACTGAAGACGATGGCCTCAGATTTGGAGGTACTAATTCTCATCCCAGCTGCTTTGCACTTGGCTGCGAACCACTCCAGTGAGAGCTGAAGATCACAGCACAATGAAACCAACAGGACCAAATCGTCTGCAAAGAGCAGAGATGGAATCCTGAGGCCAATGAACCAGAATCCCTCCACCCCCTGGCTGCACCGAGAAATTCTGTCCATAAAAGTTATGAACAGAATCTGTGACAATGGGCAGCCCTGGTAGAGTCCAACTCCCATCCTGAAGGGGTGCGACTTACTACCGGCAATGCAAACCAAACTCTCGCACTGCTTGTATAGGGACTGAACAGCCCGTAACAATGAGCCCCCAATCCCATACTCACAGAGCACCCCCCACAGTGTACCTCAAGGAACAAGGTCAAAAGCCTTCTCCGAGTCCACGAAACACATGTAGACTGGATGGGCAAACTCTCATGACCCCTCGATGACCCTAGTGGGGGCAAAGAGCTGGTCCAGTGTTCCAAAGCCAGGGCAGAACTCATATCGTTCCTCCTTGATCTGAGGTTCAACCAACGATCAGATTTACTTCTCCAGTACCCCTGAATAGACCTTACCAGGGAGACTAAGGAGAGTGATGCCCCTGTAATTGGAGAACACCCTCTGGTCCCCCTTTTTGAAGAGGGAAGTCACCACCCCACCCTCCGGTCCCCCTTTTTGAAGAGGGAAGTCACCACCCCAGTCTGCCAATTCAGTGGCACTGCCCCTGATGTCCATGCGATGTTGCAAAGGCGTGTCAACCAAGACAGTCTCACAACATCCAGAGCCTTGGGGAAATCAGGGAGAATCTCCTTCACTCCCGAAGCCCTGCCATTGCAAAGCTTTTTAACTACCTCGGTGACCTCAGCCACAGTTACGGACAGACCATCCCTGAAGTTCCAACTCAGCTTCCTTCATTAAAGACGTGCCGGTGGGACTGAAAAAGTTTAAGTGTTCCTTCCACCTCCCGACGACGTCGTCACTGGTTGAGGTCAACAGCACCCCACCTTCACTGAAAACAGTGTTGGTAGAATTCTGCTTTCCCCTCCTCAGCCACCTGATGGTTTGCCAGAATCTCCTCGGAGCCGACCGACAGTCTTTATCCAAGGTTTCACCAAACTCCTCCCATATCCCATATACTCTCCAAAAAGAACATTGAGACAGTGATCCACGCCTTCATAACATCTAGACTTGATTACTGCAATTCACTTCTGTTTGGAATCAGTCAGTCCTCCATTGCTCGTCTACAACTGGTCCAAAATGCTGCAACCCGATTTTTAACTGGTACAGGCTATAGAGAGCACATCACGCCAGTTTTGGCCTCCCTCCAATGGCTACCCATTCACCTTCGGATCCATTTAAAAATTCTCATGTATGTTTTTAAATCACTGAACAGTTCCGCCCCATCCTATCTCACTGATCTTCTGCAGCCATATGTCCCACCGCGCTCTCTGAGGTCAGCAGACCAGATGCTTCTCTCAGTCCCAGAAACCCATCGTAAGCTCAGAGGTGACAGGGCTTTCTCTGTTGCGGGTCCACGACTGTGGAATGAGTTGCCACTGAGTGTCCGGCAGGCTCCCACACTCTGTCTTTAAGTCTCGCTTGAAGACCCACTTCTATTCGCTTGCCTTTAACACGGTGTGATTTGTTTTGGGCCGGTCTGTTCTCTACTCTGTTGGCCATTTTAGTTAGCTTCTGCTGCTATTTGTATCTGTATTTCTATTTTATGTTTTCCTGTCTGCTGTGCATGTTTGTTTTCTTTTGTATAGCACTTTGGTTGGCCTTGTTGCTGTTTTAAGTGCTATATAAATAAATTGGTATGGTATGGTATGGTATATCCAAGCTTTTGCCTCAGCAACAGTCAAGGATGCAAACCGCTTGGCCCTCCAGTACTCCTCAGCTGCCTCTGGAGTCCCACCAGCTAACAAGGCCCAATAGAACTCATTCAGTTTGACAGCATCCCTAACCCGGGGTGTCCACCAATGAGTTTGAGGATGGCCTTTGCAAGAAGCACTGACAACCTTGCGACCACAAGTCAAGGCATCTACTTCAACAATTGAGGCATGGAACATGGCCCACTTAAGACTCATTGTGGGTCACTGATTGCCAGCCTCAGGTGGGGAAGGGGCCTGAGCTTGTGTGCGAGGTCGAGAGGTACCAACGAGATCTAGTTGGGCTCACCTCGATGCGCAACATGGGCTCTGGAACCAATCTCCTTGAGAGGGGCTGTACCTTATTCTATGCTGGAGTTGCCCATGGTGAGAGGCGTCGAGCTGGTGTGGGTCTACTCTCAGGTGAAGAGAGGAGCTGAGCTGTCAACTGATCACTGCCTGGTAGTGAGTTGGATCAGTTGGCGGGGGGAAATGACAGACAGACCTGGTAGACCCAAATGTGTAGTTAGCGTTTGCAGGGAATGCCTGGCAGAAGAACCCATCTAAAAGATCTTCAACTTGCACCTCCAGAAGAGCTTTGACCACATCCCACCAGAGAGGTCACATTACATGTCCCAAGAGCCAGCTTTGGTAAGCCAGGTTTGGAGCGCCAAGGCCCCCGCCTTCAGCCACTGCCCATGGAGTCATGCACCCAACTTGTATGGCCCCTCCTACAGGTGGTGGGCCCACAGGAAGACCATGCTGAGCCACCGCCCTGAAATACAACCACTGCGCTGAAAACATAAGGGCCTTTTAATGAAAACAGAATGCAATTATGTGGAAATTTATTCACAATGAAACTAAGAGCATGTAGCAATTTTTATTAAAACATGTTTGGAGTTTGATGTGATTTTGTTAGTTTAAACTTTCAGTATGTTAACTGTGTTCCACTGTGAATAAAAGAGTTTGAGGTGCTTTAATTTGCATTTTACACCACGTTCCTACTGTTTAGAGATGTGGCCAAAATGAGACTCAGGAGCAGCGACGACAGAAACAATGCATGTTCTGACCTAAAATAAATAAGAATATCAGCTGTAACAACTGAGTCTTTATACATGGAGTTGAATTTCAATCTGAGCTGAAAAACGGTTCCCAAATAAAACCACTGAACAAAAGTCTTCAGCCTGAAGTTCAGGAAAGAAACGTGTGTAGGCTGCTCTGAGGTCAGTGTGTGAAGCCTCAGGTTCAAATATTCAACACACTGAGACTGATCTGGGTACAAAAATAATTAAAACCTGCAGAAAAGATCATAATGCTTCACTTTTCTTCTTTACTGACGTGTGTGTGTGTGTTCCTGCTGTTAAAAGTAAAAAATGAACCTTCTCTGGTTTGAGGCCTCAGACTTGGTGCTTCTTAGGACAAATTTATTTTTAATATTTCCTAATGTTGTCTTTTATACCAAACTCTGGACTGAGCACAGAAACCCACCTGTGTATCAGAAAAGACGAGTTTTCACATCCATCAAACTTTTCCACATTTTGTCACGGTACAAAGTTTTTTACTGGGACTTTATGTGTCATGGACTGACAGTAAAACGAGTCCTGTTTTCTAGGACAGTCTGACAGCTGTCCCGTGGACAGGTGGTCCCACCTGAGCTGGGGGTCTCTGCAGCTCCGCCTCTCAGGTGGACAGTCATGACTGTCCTCTTCCTGTTTGCAGATGATGAACTGCGTCCAGAGGAATGGGGAAGCATAAAATGTTTTAGATTCATCTCATCAAAGGCGAATACAGTCAGAGGGACTGGTTTAAAATATGTTTAGTTTAATATACAGTTCTTATGTGAAATTCATCATAGGATAAAGTAGTGGCTGAAAACAATGGCCAGCACTTTAAAACTTTAAATATAGACACAGTTGGTTATAATAGAGATGATGACAGTACTAATGATGTGTTTTACAGTCCCAAGTGTATTGTGTTCTGGTTATTGTAACGTAAAGAAGTTTACGTGATGAGGTGGTGTACAGACACGTGCACTGAGCACACTCTTGTTGATCTGTATTTTTCTGTTTTGCAGTTCTTATTTAAAAAAAAAGTTGCACGTTAGATGAGTGGGCCCATCATTTTCAACAGTGTAACATACAAACCGGATTCCAAAAAAGTTGGGACACTAAACAAATTGTGAATAAAAACTGAATGCAATGATGTGGAGATGGCAAAATGTCAATATTTTATTCGTAATATAACATAGATGACAGATCAAAAGTTTAATCTGGGTAAATGTAACATTTTAAAGGAAAAATATGTTGATTCAAAATTTCAGTGTCAACAAATCCCAAAAAAGTTGGGACAAGTAGCAATAAGTGGCTGGAAAAAGGAAATTGGGCATATAAAGAACAGCTGGAAGACCAGTTAACACTAATTAGGTCAATTGACAACATGATTGGGTATAAAAAGAGCTTCTCAGAGTGTCAGTGTCTCTCAGAAGCCAAGATGGTAAGAGGATCACCAATTCCACCATTGTTGCGCGGAAAGATAGTGCAGCAATACCAGAATGGTGTTACCCAGTGTAAAATAGCAAAGACTTTTAAGTTATTATCATCAACCGTGCATAACATCATCAAAAGATTCAGAGAATCTGGAACAATCGCTGTGCGTAAGGGTCAAGGCCGTAAAACTCTACTGGATGCTCGTGATCTCCGGGCCCTTAAACGTCACTGCACCTCAAACAGGAATGCCACTGTCAAGGAAATAACAGAATGGGCTCAGGAACACTTCCAGAAAGCATCGTCAGTGAACACAATCCACCGTGCCATCCGCCGTTGCCAGCTGAAACTCTACAGTGCAAAGAGGAAGCCATTTCTAAGCAAGCTCCACAAGCTCAGACGTTTGCGCTGGGCCAGGGGTCATTTAAAATGGAGTGTGGCAAAATGGAAGACTGTTCTGTGGTCAGATGAGTCACGATTTGAAGTTCTTTATGGAACACTGGGACGTCATGTCATCCGGACCAGAGAGGACAAGGATAGCCCAAGTTGTTATCAACGCTCCGTTCAGAAGCCTGCATCACTGATGGTATGGGGTTGCATGAGCGCTTGTGGCATGGGCAGCTTGCATGTCTGGAAAGGCACCATTAATGCAGAGAACTATGTTCAGGTTCTAGAACAACATATGCTCCCATCTAGACGTCATCTCTTTCAGGGAAGACCCTGCATTTTTCAACACGATAATGCCAGACCACATTCTGCAGCAATCACAACATCATGGCTACGTAGGAGAAGGATCCGGGTACTGAAATGGCCAGCCTGCAGTCCAGATCTTTCACCTATAGAGAACATTTGGTGCATCATAAAGAGGAAGGTGCCACAAAGAAGGCCCAAGACGATTGAACAGTTAGAGGCCTGTATTAGACATGAATGGGAGAGCATTCCTATTTCTAAACTGGAGAAACTGGTCTCCTCTGTCCCCAGATGTCTGTTGAGTATTGTAAGAAGAAGGGGGGATGCCACACAGTGGGAAAAATGGACTTGTCCCAACTTTTTTGGGATTTGTTGACGCCATGAAATTTGGAAACAACAGATTTTTCCCTTAAAATGAAACATTCTCTCAGTTTAAACTTTTGATCTGTGATTTGTGTTCTACTCTGAATAAAATATTAGATGTTGGCACCTCCACATCATTGCATTCAGTTTTTATTCACCATTTGTTGAGTGTCCCAACTTTTTTGGAATCCGGTTTGTATTTTGTGTATATATATATATATATATATTCTCAATACTTCCTTTTAATGAACGTTGATGAGAGATCATATCTCTCCAGTTTTAGCTTCTCTCCAATGGCTCTCTGTCAAATCCAGAATTTAATTCAAAATCTTACTCCTAACCTACAAAGCTCTCAACAACCTAGCTCCATCTTATATATGAGATCTTATTGTTCCATATTTTCCTAACGGAGCACTTCGTGCTCCAATTGCAGGTTTACTTGTGGTTCCTAGAGTTTCCTAAAGCAGAATGCTAGGAAGATCTTTCAGTTCTCAGGCTCCTCTCTTGTGGAACCAACTTCCAGTTTCCGTCCATGAGTCTGACACATTGTCCAGTTTTAAGACTGGGCTGACTTTTCTTTTTCATAAATCCTATAGTTAGGGTTGGCTTGGGTTTCCTGAGCTATCCCTTAGTTATGTTAATATAGGCTTAGACTGCTGGAGGACAAATTGACCTCATTTCATCAAACGAATAGTTTGTAATTGTTTCTGTCTTATGTTTAAAAAAAAAAATCTTTCCTCCTAGAGAAAATCTTGCTCGCCTCCATTCCGTGTTCGTCTGTTTCTACTTCCTGTCCTCTCAAACCAGCCGGTCAAAGCAGATGGCCGCTCGTCCTGAGCCTGGTTCTGCTCGAGGTTTCTTCTTTTTAAAAGGAAGTTTTTCCTTTCCACTGTCTCCTTTGTGTTTGCTCAGGATGGGAGACTGTGACAAAGTGAAGAGTCAACACAATCTGCTGCTTCCAGAGAACTTTTACTAATTGACATTTATAATGTCTGTGAACGTTTCTGTTCAGTGGCCTGAGACAACTTCTGTTGGGACTTGGAGCTGTATAAATAATCTGAATTAAACTGAACTGAGGCTCTGACAGATGATGTTTTATTACCCAACCCTGGTCTTCATGATGCTGTTTGACGGATGTTCTGTAACAGCTCTCAGAACAGCTGGATTTAAACTCAGGTTAAATTACAGACAGCTGGACTTTGTTTTCTAAACGGGAAACATCTGGACTTTAAAAGGGGTGAAACAAACACAGGTTACACTTTATATTTGTAATAAAATCTGGAGATTCTCCGTCCACGTCACTAATACGACCTCCTCTGTGCTGGTTTAGCAGCTGAATCCAGTAAAAGACTTTGTGGTTGTAACTGAACCGTAGAAAAGTTTAAGGGGTGTGAAAATGTTTTGTCCTGTAAACGCTCTGAAATGTGAAAATCTTTCCATTAAAACAGAATAAAGTGTTGTTTTTGTCTAAAGGCGGTACGGTGTGACAGGAAGCTGCAGAGGATTCAGTGTTTGAGTGGCACAGGCGTTCCTCAGGGTTCTTACCACGACGTGATTAAATACTGAGCCAGGTGGATGGAGATCGGCGTGCCGGTGATGGTGACGTGTCGGTCACTGCTGCTGTCCAGCTGACTGCCGATCTTGATCTGAGCCCCCGATACCTGCCGGATTTCATTGATCTTGGTGCCCTGGCGCCCGATGATGGAGCCAATCAGCTGCGAGGAAGACGAGGCAGACGGGATGAAGACAAGGTTTGCTATGGGAGGATGTTTTTTCAGGATTTCAAGAAGCACTCAACAAAACCTAACAGAAAAATCTAAACACATATTACAGCATTTAATATCCATCTTTGATCCTCCTGCTTGGCTCACAGAGGCAACAAGTCCTGCTCTGAGGGAGGAAGAGGAGCAGAAGAGTGGCATGATGAAGGAGAAGATGGAGGCTCCTTCAGACACAGGCAGAGCCACAGAGGAGGAGCTGAGAGATGAAGACGTCTCCGTCCTGCACATCTACAAGGCTGCAGTGGAAAGAGTCCAGCGCTGCTCCTTGCTGGAGGATCCACAGCTGATAGACCAGGCCAAACACCTGGGACACCTGGCCTTCAACATCTGGAACAACATGAAGGACATGGTCTCCTACACCCCCATCATTCTGGACCCAAACACTGCTGGTCCAGAACTCATCCTGTCTGAAGATCTGAGGTGTGTGAGACTGAATCAGGAACTTCCTGTGGTCCTGGCAGCTGGTGAAGAGCTTGTTGAGGTTTAATGTCAAAGGTCCAGCTGTCGTGAGCCACTGCAGACATTCTGAAGGAGAACGGGCATTTTGTGGAAACCTGAGCGGAAGGATCTGGTTCTGTTGAGGTTTCTCCTCCATCTGTTCTGGAGAAGTGAGGTTCCTCCTTAGGATGCTCAGCTCTCTGGTTGTTAAAATGCACCTGCAGCATTAGGAGCAGAGGAGGAGGTGAGGGCTATTTTTGGGCGATTCCCTGCTGCCCTTGTAATTTGGAAAGGTTTAGTGAAGGAGGAGGAGGAGGAGGGCTGGTGTTCGAGCTCTGGCTGTGAACTGTAGAATGAAGCTCAGACGTTTCTTCACTCCTCCTGAACCCTCTTCTCTCTGAGATACTGTGAGTCGGGCTTGGACCAGGAGAATCTTTACTCTCACTGTGAGCCGGGCTTGGACCAGGAGAATCTTTACTCTCACTGTGAGCCGGGCTTGGACCAGGAGAATCTTTACTCTCACTGTGAGCCGGGCTTGGACCGGGCTTTTCAGGTCTCCATGTTTGTGTTTTATATGTGAGAGAAACATTGACAGCTGCCGAGGTGTTTATCACCCTGTCCGAGCGAGGACGCAGCTTCAGGGTGGAAACATGACCTCCATCTCCCGTCATCATGACACCCCCCCCCCCCCATTAAACTAAACGTTTCATCCATTTATCAGTTAAAGACTAACTCGCTCACTTGGACAGGAATGCCGACTAACATCAGCTGTCGGTGGGTTCTGTTGTGTTTGGTTGATTTAAAGACAACCGGCTGCCTGATGGAGACGAGCCGGTGAACGGCGTTCACAGAGGAGTCTCACAAACGTCTCAAAACGTTTGCAGGAGTTTGAGCCCTCACTGTTCACCTTCTGGGACTCAGTGCAAGAAATATGAGAGAAATAAGTTTGGTACCAATAAAACAACATTTTGACCATTGGCGACAAAAAAAGACAATAAACTGATCAGTTCATTGTTTGGTGTCTCCGACAGTCACAGCTCGGTCAGAAACGAGCTTTAGAGCCGCTCAGAAGAAAACCTGAACACTGACATTTAGTTTAGTGGTAGCTGACGGTCATCCCAAATGCACACTCTGAGGTCACTATTAAATCTGCCAGGTGGCGGGTGACATGCATTTCTTTAAGGAATGTTTGTTTTTATTTTTTAACAAAGTTGTTTTTGTGCTTTTCTCATTCAAAGAAAGACTCTTCTGTCTCCTCCCTCCAGCTCTTATCTGAACTCCTGCTTCAGATGATTCTCGGCACCGATCAGAGATTTTCTAAAATCTGGAAGTTAAACAGCCGAGTTGTTTTCTGCACATTTTAAACCAAAGTTTGACAGAAACGGATTTCCAGAGTGAGACCTGCTGGGACGTTTGGTTTGGACCCGGCGGAGGACGAGCTGGACGGGGCAGAGATGAAGATGTTCACATCTTCTTAGGAGGAACCCAAATGGACAAAAAACGATTCCATTGGAGGGAGGCTGAGATGGATTGGACATGTCCAACAGAGGGACTGTGGACATGTCCAACAGAAGAATGGTGGACATATTTGACCAGAGAGTTTGAACGTGGAGCTTCCAGTGAGGAGAAGACGAGTCATCAGAGGATGTTTCTGGGAGGAGGATGGACAGAGACACGTTGTCAGATATGTGGTGGTCAAAAGCTCCCACATGGACCAAAGGTCACAGCTTTGACCTTTTCAGCAGCCACCGTCCATCAGTCGTCAGCTGATCCGTCCCTTTCCCTGAGCTGCTGATGGGAAACCAGCTCCAGTTGCTGTGGAACTGTTTGTCCTCAGACTCTGACAGGTTTTAATGGTTTCTGCAGAAGTTCTTGGTGTTTTTAGTTTGACTCACATCATTTGGAATGAGGAGCTCCTGAGACGTGGTTTGGGAAGCGGCCTCCACACCTGCTGAGAGAGGACAAAGACGGATCACGGGGTCTGAACAGAACCGTCTTGATCCAAAGCAACAAGAACAAACAGTTTATCCTCAAACAGGATGTAAAACAAGTCCAACTTAATCAGAACAATTAAAAAGAAGAAGCTGAAAATGAGCAACAATCCAAAACAGTCATTTTTAAAAACATGGCACCATTTCTACAAATGTTTTCATCCACACAGAAAACTACTAAAACGCTGCAGTAACTACAGCAGACCTGTAGGTGGTGCTGTAACAAAAACAGGAAACAAGGTACAGAGCAGAGGCTCAGGATGGAGGATACAAGAGCAAAAACTGAATCCTTGTTATGGACTACCAGGTGGACCTTCTACTTTGTGTCACTTTAAACTACTGTTGACTGGGAGACGTGTCCAAATACGAGGACATGTGGATGATATGAGACTGAGGGATGGACGAAAGAGTTGTCCTCATCATGTCCTGGGTTAATTATACACCAAACCTTTATTCTCCATTAAACTTGATGTTTCTTCTTGTTTTTTATCAGAATGTCTCATTAGTTTAATTAGTTTAGAGGTGGGTCGATGACATCATCGTTTTCTAAAAGTTGTGTTTAGGCTGTCCACATGAGAACACAAAGGAGGAGTTTAGGACTTCCTGGTGTTAAAAAATACAGTCAGGGGCTCCTAAAACAGCGTTTCCATGTGGACGCAAAGTTTGATTGGTGTCACCAACAGCTGCTGGGAATAGAATTTATTTTGTTTACTGCATCAGAATCACTAAACTTGAATATGAAATAAAATAAAATGATCAAATAAAATGCAGGTGATGGATGTGTGGAGACGTACCGGGCAGAACCTGTGTGGCCGACTGGCTGATGGACGCCAGGCTTTGCTGCTGCATCGACAGCTGGTGAAGCTTCGCCAGCTGATGGAGACAGAAAAACAAAACTGTGAAATAATCAACAAACAAACAAACAAACAAACAAACGCAGGGTTCTGAGGGCACGATGAATGAACGTGAAGAAGAAACTTGGTGTTAGAATAAAAGCAGCGTGTCTTTAGCCTTGTTGGAATATAAAAAGCAGATCTTTGTGTTCTCGTGGGTTTTGTTTGGACCGGAACCGTCAGGTTTTTGGAGTTGGACTCATCGGTTGTTCTTTGAGTCTCTTTGTTCCGGTTTAGTCTAAATGACACAGAACCTGGACCCGAGCCGACTCTCTCGGGTTGGTTCTGTTCGTGTTGTTCACAGTGGTTCAGATGAAACCCTCTTACCTCTGAATGTGGGAGTCCGTAGTGACTCTGGACCGCGTACGCCTGAAACAGAGAGAACAGGAGATTAAGATCCGCTCGTTGTCCTTGTTGCACGACGCCTCAGCACGAAGTTCAACCAAACTTTAAAAAAAAAACGTCCATCAGCAGCACAACGAGACAAAACGGCAGAGTCAGCTCAAAGAAGCACCGGCTGCAGGTCCAAACATCTAGTTTCATCAGAAACTGGACCAAATGATCCAGATCCAAGAACCAAGACCATCAGAGGGAAAGCACAGTCTGAAAGACTGGGAGAGGCCAGTCTGAGATGGTCTGGACATGTCCAGAGGAGGGACAGTGGTTTAGACATGTCCAGGGGAGGGACAGTGGTCTGGACATGTCCAGGGGAGGGACAGTGGTCTGGACATGTCCAGAGGAGGGACAGTGGTTTAGACATGTCCAGGTGGGGGACAGTGTGTATATTGGTAGAAGGATGTTAGAAATGCAGCTGCCAGGAAAAAGATAAAGAGGAGATGCAGTTAGAGAGGACATGGTGGGACTTGGAGTGAGGACAGAGTGAGATGGAGGACTAGGACTCACTTTGGAGACCTCTGAAGAGGGAACATTAATAATCTAAGAAGAAACTGAACAGATTTTTCAGAAGTACAAGAAGAAAACCACGTGTTTTATGAAGATGTGAACATCTGCAGGAGAAGCACCTCAGATCGGATCATCTGGTCTGACTAGTCAGAACCTGACCTCTCAGGATCGTCTGGTTCGTCAGAACCTGACCTCAGAGCCCTCAGACCGAGGATGAACCTGGTGTAAAATGTGGCCTCCACCAGACCTGGAAGCAGCCTGAGCAGCAGCTCCTCCAGGTCCGGTAGCTGAAGGTCTTGCTTTAGCTCAGGGTGCTCGGACCTGGAGGTTGTTCTCGCTCTTGCTTCGTTTGTGTTTTTACAGCTGCTGCAGCTGCGTCGGCTGTTCACGCCCCGATTCAGCCGATCTGAGACGGACCTGGACAGCAGCGTCCAGCCAGGACAGACGTCCCTCTCCTGTGGTGTCGAGGTCCATTTCTGGGGGTTTTAGAGTCTCTAAAAAACAAAACATCTCCCAGTCGGCTAATACAGTATATGAAAGTTGTTTTTATAAATATTCCCCCTCAGGAACTTCTGAGCACAAATCAAACTGGTTGACCCACTCTGTGAAGGTGTTATTTATAAGAATGAGTTTGTTGCAGCTCCTCAGACTGATGAAGTCCTTTGGATGAAAGACGAAACTTTTCAACACAAAGAAAACGTCCAGAGGACCTGACTGAACTTTTTTTTTTTTTTTACTGGATTACTGAGCATGAACTTTTAAAGCGTGTCGGATTCTTCCCTGTGAGGCCTCCTGAAGATGAACCTCGACACCAAACAGAACCAAACATTTCATTTTTGTTACGTCATGATAAAAACAACTAAATATTCTTTCATTTGACTTTACATCTTCATGGAGCTGAAATGTTTTTATCATCTGACTGAGTTTCCTTCATTCTGAACGTGGTTCATGTTTATGTGTTGAATGTTTTTTGTGTTTAGTGTTTTTCTCTTCTGCTCACCTGTTGCAGGTCCACTCCTCCCTGCGCCACCGAGAACAGAGGGTGGGAGCTGAAGTCGGACGCCTCGAACACCTGGACACAAACACAGAGAAGTTCGGACCCGGGATCAGCAGCTGATGTGCTGCAGTTCTGTAGCCTTCATCACACACCTGTCACACACCTGTCTCACACCTGTCACAAACCTGTCACACACCTGTCTCACCACCGTCTCACATCTGTCACACACCTGTCACACACCTGTCACAAACCTGTCACACACACCTGTCTCACCACCGTCTCACAACTGTAACACACCTGTCCCACACCTGTCACA